AGATTGCCCAGGGGATTCATATGCACATTTTATTCAATTTCACCTTGTGACCAACCAGAAGACCAGCCCCACCTTACCCCAACCCCAGCCATTAAGGAACTAAGCATCAAGATAGCCAGAAAAGGACGCGTGAATTATGCTTCTATTCTGGCTCCCTCCCATCTGCTGATATCACTTAGGAGAGCTCCAGACCAGTGAAATAACCAGGTCTGGAAGGTGGGATTCTCCTGATCCTGTTTGTCATTAGTCAACAAATATTTGTTGAGCAACTAATAGTTCATCTCATGGAATTTATATTCTAGTGGTGTAGACAGAAAATTAACAAAAGATTTGATAGTGATAATAAGCAAAAATTGAGATAAAATGAGATTGTGATTGGAGGGCTAGACTGGGTGGCAATAAATGCCTCTCTGCTTAAGTGACATTTATATGAAAGATAAAGGGCTGGTCAGGCACAGTTCAGAGGTAGAGAAAACAGCAAGAACAAATGTACTGGGGTGGTATAGGGTCAGAGATGAAAGTAGGGCTAGGTCACCTTGAGCTTTGTAAGCCAAAATAAAAAACATTTGCTATTTTAATAGAAAGCCATCGAGGAATTTTTGGCAGAGGAATTGTTACCTTTTGGGGGTGATTTAAACTCCAGTGTTGCCCCAGTGGCATGGCAGGGGTGGGGGGAGGTAACAACGCAGAAGTGCAATTAACATTTTTCCTCAGTTCTTCCCTGCCGTTGAGGCAAAAATTTATAGGTCAGCGAGATTTAGGCAAAGTAAGACTTATTAAAAGTATATTTTAGAAGGAGATAGGCCATGCTGAGGAAGGCGGTAGCCCTGTGGAATTTGGGAGGTGAAAAGATAAAAGATAGATAGAGTACAGAGTACGGTCCAAGGGAGGAGCAGATTCTCAGCGAAAAGGGCTGCAACAACACAGAAGTGAGGAGGGCCATATTATATTAGGGGCGTGATGGGTGGTTCCAAAGGCATTCCTAGGTGACTGGCACGTGAGGTCATTTTGATTGACACCTGGCTGCTATATAACTCTCTGCCTAGCGTGCATGTGCTTACCCAGAATTCACTGTTATAATTAGATTCATGAACTTCATGCATAAACATGGATTATAATGATGGTATAATGAGGCTGAGGTTATGGGTTAGGGTAGTATCTTCTGTGCAAGCATCTGTGGCCTGATTAAACCATGTATAGAATTATGGCCCCACAGTCCTTTGTCTCTGGGGACACAACGGGGTGTTTCTTTGGGCAGTCTCTAGGCTGGGCCCCTATTCCTTTGTTCTGTCACTCAGATCTGACTACCTAACAGAATGACGTGAGCTGATTCTTTTAGGTCATTCTGGATCTGTGTAGATAGGAGAACAAGAGTGGAAGCTGGGAGACTGGTTAGAAAGGCCAGTTCAGTACAAGCACAGGATGATGATGGCTTGGTCTATGGGGGTGGTAGTGGAGATAAAGAGAATCCTCGCTATCCTGAGAGAAACTTCAGGATTTGGTTTGGAGGCAGAGTCAATGGGACATTTTGGCATAGGAAAATGTGTATTTCTTTGTTCTTGTGGTAACTTGTTACTAAAGGTGACTGCGACCTTATCTTCAATCCTACATGCCTTTTTGCCACTTCTCTCACCAAGAGGTGGGGTTTATTTCCTCTGCCGTGGGCAGGCCCCATTTTTTTTTTTTTTTTAAACCAATAGAATGCAACAAAAATGACATTCTGGGACTCTAAGACCAGATTTTAAGAGGCCTTTACTTATTCAGCCATAAAGAAAAGAAACCCTGCCATTTGCAACAACATGAATGAACCTTGAGGGCATTATGCTAAGTCAAGTCAGTCAGAGAAGACAAATACTGTATGATCTCACTAATGTGGAATCTAAAAAAAAAATTCCAAATTTACAGAAACAGAGAGTAGATTGTTGGTTGTCAGGGGCAGGGGTTGGGGAGAATGGCGAAGAGGGTTAAAGAGTACAGACTTCCAGTTTTAAGATGAGTAAGTTCTGGGGATCCAATGTACAACATAGTGACTAGAAGTACAGGCTATGCTGTTGGAAAGAGAAGCTACATGGACAGAGCTGCCTTGGAGGGTGAGATAACCTTGAGAAGGTGTCTGCATAGAGAATTGAGGCATCGTAGCAGAGAGTTGGCCCCTGGACCCCAGATATATGAGGTCCCAGGCATGAGACTGAGGCCTTTTTGGAATTTCCAGCCCAGCCCCAGCTGAGGGCAGCTGATATCAGTTGGAGAAGAGCCAATCCATCCTCCTTGAGCCCTGCCCAAGCTCCTGACCCACAAGATTGTTGCCATAACCCACTAAATTTTGGGTGGGTTGTTAAACAGCAAGACTGAGCTGTTTTTTCCTTAGGGGAAGGGGAATTATGTAGCTAATGATTTATCTATTTCAATGCTTCTCTCTCTCCCTACAAAGAACTAAGTTTTATCATTTTCTGATTTTATCTGTTTTATTGGTTTTCAGTTCCTACTACCTTTTCATTATACTCCTCTAATATTCTTATGCTGGTGAAATCAAACCAAAATGAATCCAAGTGCAGACAGTAAAGGGAAAAATAACTAACATGCAATCTGCGGCCTGAGCATATGTGGGCTTGGGTGTAGATTAAAGCGCAGCCACATCTACCTGTTTCTCAGGCTGGTGAAGGTCTGTGGGCTGAATGGGTGCATGTGAACCTTTGGTTCGTTTTTAGCATTGGTGCATAAAGACTTCTAGAATTCCAAGCAACATGGGGCCAGCTTTGAATCATGCCATCATGTATAGAGCACTTTCATGCTAGTGTCATACTGGGCACCAGAAGATGGAATCTGTCTTAGCAGACTATACATGGCATAGCTCACTCTGTGTTGGGCAGGCAGTAGACTGGGACTAGGGCATCTGGCCACCTCTACAAAGGGCCTGCGGCTAGCTTCTGCTAAAGTCTTGCATTGTTCCTGTTGCTGACCTGTGAAGAACCCAACTCTTCACCAGCTTCCTTAGGTTGCTGCAGTTGTGCTGACTTGACTCTCCAAGCCACTCTGGCATCGTGGGTTCTACTGAGGTTTGTTTTGCATACTATTCACAGGCCACAGGTTACTCCCTGGTGGGGTCAGAAAAACAAATTTTTAGCTGGGGGTAGTGATGCTCAGATCATTACTGTGTTTTAAGATCAGATAAGCTAGTTATTTTTAATTACTGCTGGCATCATGGCAAACACACTTTGTGCTCTAGATTTACAAACATACTCAATATATCCATGTTTTTTCATGGACCAAGGGTTTAAAACCCTAAGCTATATTCTCTGCTTTATAATATATAAAATAGCAGAAGTGGACAGAAGGTCATTAAGGGACCTATGTCATTCCCAAAGAAGGGGCTGCTGGAGCTGCTAATACTGGTATAGGTAAGAAAAGTCCATTTTATTTGTAAAAGGACTATCTGCCCCTAAATGTGGTCTATGTTCTGGGAATAACCACAGCTAGGGCTGTGGGACATTTGAAGCTGTCCTTAAGAAGATTTAAAGTCTGGCTCAAATCACATCTTAAATGCCTCCTGTGTGTGCTTCCTCCTCTTTTCCATAGGTGAAATCAGATTCTAGAACAACAACAACAAAAAAACAAGAAGGTAGTCTAGGGGATGCATGCATATTTTTGTAATATTTTTTTTTCTTGGAAATTTCATAACTATTCTCATGCGATTGTTAGTGAATAGGGGGATAGTGGTGGTGGTGGCTAAGCAATAGCCTGACTTAGCAATAGCTGACTTAGCAATAACCTCGCTCTGATTTCCTCCTACCCATTTCCTTTGGGTGGTCTTCAGCTCCTACAGGGTAAACCCAGGGTCTAAAGCAAAAATTTAGGTTTTAATGTACAGCATGGTAACTATAGTTAATATACTGTATTGTATATTTGAAAATTGCTAAAAGGACCTTAAAAGCAAGAAAAAGAATTTTGTAACTATGTAAGGTAAAAAATGTAAACTAGACTTATTGTGATCATTTTGCAATATATACAAATATTGAATCATTATGTTGTACACCTGAGGCAAATAAAATGTATGTCAATTATGCCTCAATTAAAAAAACAGTTAGGTTTATTAGGATTCCTTCTGCAAGAGTTAAAGAAAATATTCAGAGAATTGAAATAAACCATAGGGTTGTGGGGGGTTTTTTGGACTCTACCTCCGTGTATAATTGAATAACAATTCTTGCTGCAATGCTGGCTCTAATTACATTATGTTCCCCATCTCTGAGTCTCTATGGTCAAAAATAAAAAAAACTGAACAGGCCTTGGGAATGATTTTCAGGCCTCACTCTTACCTTTTCCTGTGTATGGCTCCTTAATCTGACATGGTTCAAAGGCAGGTTCAACTTCTGCTCCCAGAGTAATATTCATAATTGGGAGGCACCGGCTTTTGGGGAGGCCTAGGATTCCCAGGGAACAAGTGGGACTTTGCAAATACCCTGGAGTGAGTGAGCATCTGTGCCAGAGTCTGATAATACCCATCACTCTTGAGCAATTAAGTAAACCTCTGGGCTGGGCTGGAAGCAAGCCAGGCTCTAGGCAAGTTGCAGATGGCAGACCCCTCCTCTCCACGCCCCCCGCCCCCAAACACATACCTTTTGGGTTTCCCAACACTTTGCTTGGCTAACAAATGGAAAGCTTTCTATAAAACATTTGAGCTAAACTGGACTTGGGTGCTCAATGTATTGGCTAAAAACACAAATTCTTTACCTAACCAATGTTCTATTTTTAGTTACATACTATGTTCATACTCAAAACTGTCTATAATTGATCGATATTAACTTTGAGAGAACAAAATGACACAAACCACACTGACGGGATTCACTCAGAGAAAGTGCTGCTTTGTAAAACATTTCTACAATGAGAGATTTACTGTCTTTCATCTTGTTTAAGTCTGAAATTGAAATCTTCAAGACAGGTTAAGTCTTTGATATTGACAATCATTTAAAAAGGTAATTTTAATTTACAAAAGACAAAGTGGGTCTATATTTGTAAACATTTATTCTCTTGAACTGAAAAAGGCTTGCATCAGCACACATTGTACAGCCTTGCAAATTACACAGAAATTGAAAAAAAGGTTCCTTGTTCATAAGTGCAATGAATCTTTGATGTCCAGTGATCCGCTGCAAACAATGAAAACAAATTTTAAACCACTTAAGAAGTTTCCAGCACTCATCAAATGTATTTCCTTAGGTGACAAAAAATCCACAAGGAGGGGAGGGGAATGCAAATAAGTGGCATTTAGTTATTGGAGGGACACTTAAAAAAATGTGGAAGTATTTTCCTGCCTAGAATGATTCCTATTCCCCTTTGAGTCTAAGTGGTTTAAGAGGCATTAAGAACATAATTTACTTTACACTTAATGTCCATACTACCTAAATGAATAAGGAAAGGACCCTATGAGGGAATTCTGTATTTTCTGGAAATTGTTTCTATGTTTAGAGATACAGGGGAAGAGTAATCTATTTGTGGGCTCTCCTTAGTCACTCCCTTCAGCCCCTCAAAAAGATAGCACATGGTTTTGACTTGGTTATTCTACTCCTGCATTCTTTTTCCCCCAAATTCTATGTTGGGTCACACTGTGCTGGCTGCAAAAAAGGAATACAGGTTGCAACTGGTTGTAATCATTTTGAAGAATAATTTGCTGTACAATAGAGCTTTGGATCTGATACAAGAATTCAGAAATATAAAACAAAATAACTATAAAAGTTAGGAGGCATTTGAACAGCATTTCCTCAGAAAAAGCTGCTAACTCTGTATCATTCTGATGTAAATTCTTACAGTCATTTGGGGTGAAGTGTGTATTTTTCCCCGTCTTTGCTGAACACTGGCCTGTCTTCAAAAGCAGTAACGCCATGACCACACATTCTAGGAGTCTCTATCATGTTAACAGAAGCTCCAAATACCAAGCCAATTAAAGATGGGAGAGGACAGGGGGAATCATAAAGGCCAAGGGTCCCAGGTGGCTCTGTTACTGAGAACTTGCCCTTTCCAAAATGTGAAAGTCATAGTGCTTCTTGCTTGTTCTCAGTTTAAACTTGTTAACTGAGTTAATTTGTTTCTTCAATGCATTCTGCGCAGCTGAAATGGAAGGGAATGTAGCTAAGACGGTGTATGTGGAGGCCAAGTCACTGGGTTTAGAGCGTTCAGAATTGACAGTGTTGTCCCCACTGCCACAGCAGAGGGGGTGACGACGCAACTGGGGCTGGGACTGGGGGTCGCGCAGCCACCGGATCTTGGCGCCAATTTTAAAGAGTTCCCCAAAAAGCTTCTCGGCTTCCATGCGAGTTATTCCATCTGGTAGTTCGGTAATTTCCAAGACCTTCCCAACAACTAGAATGGAAAAGGTGTAGAATTAATAATCCCTGTTACCAAAGAGGTAGGCAAAAAGTCCTGGAGACCTAAATGACATAGAAAATGACAAGGTATTCGAAAAACACTCAGATACACAAAACTGTAATTGTTATGGCCGTCTTTTAAATTATTCCTACTTTCCCCTTAGGCAAGAGATGTGTAGCTAATGATGCAAAACTACCCGACTTGTAGTCTTCACTGATAGTCGCACATACGAAATGCAGCACTGTAGATTCTCTAAATGAGGCGCATGAATGACCCTGGGCAAACAGTTTCCTGAACTTCACGTTCCCATTGTAAAATAAAGATAATAGCACTTGCCCTAACCACCCCAAGGAAGCTGAATAGAAAGTTAAACTACATACAGCACTTTGCCATAGAAAGGTGATATATGTTGTTCATTCAGAGTACCTTCATCTGTGTGTTAGGACTCAGGCCTTTCTCAAAGAAGACAGAGGCAAAGAGTTTCATTCTACCTGTTTCTCACACACTTCTTTTCCCTTTGGTTCCTTCGCCCCTCATAAATCTACCTGTACCTTACTATATACTCAAACCTGAAATAAGACAGGATTAAAAGAACATATTCAAGAACCCTACATTACAGACAGCATAATTTTCTATGACTTTTTGCAGGATTCTAGTAAGAGGAAAACTCATTTCTGTGCCGTGGTATAGTTTTAAAGACCACTGAACCTCTCGACAGTTTGTAGAACCACACCCGCTTTTGCCTCTCAGGGACACACCTGCTTCTCCTGCACCAAGGTCAGTGGATGCAGCTTTTTTAGCTTGTCTCCTTCCTCGGTTTCCATGTCTATTGCCAGACTGACCCTGAAAACCCACAAACAGATGAGAAGTAGGGTTAACAATACTGTTGTAACATTTAAACCCTTAACACCTAACCATTTTTAGGAAAAATTCAATTCCAGGCCTTGAAATTCTGCCTCCATGGCAATGGCACTGCTGTCCCTCACTGTGACCAGCCACTTGCTGACCACCTTTTATAAGCGAGAGCGCCCAACACTCCGACCTCCACCCGGCTTTGGACAGCGCTGCTGAATCACTTCTCTGCCAGGCAGCACACCGCTTTCTCCTTTCCTCTGCTCTTGGCGGGGCCAGTGACGGCACTGGTAAATAAGCCTGACTGAGGCACATTTATACAGTGACCAGGGCACCCCACACTCAGCAACAGAAGTATGATATTCTGCCAATGATGCCTGGGAAGTCAGAAGGCTGATCGTCACACCTGTTGAGCTGGAATGTGTCCGTGCAGAACAGCAGGAGGGTTGTACTGCAGTGGTTGGCCAAGTAATGGATATCTGGCATCTCCTGAAAGTCGACAGAAACATTTTACATTTTTCTCTACTTAGTTATAAAGTACTTCCTGGAGTTTTCTAAACTATCTCACTTAAGATAAGCAGGGGAAACACATTTGGTAAAATAAAAAAGTATAGGTATTGACATTTTTTAAAAGAATAAAAAGTTCCATATAACTTTTAAAGAGCTAGGATAAACTTTTCAATGGACTAAGGACTAATAACAGTGGTTATGGAGGAGGGTAAGTGGTAGGAACTGGGTAGATGGGACAGGATGAACAGAAACTTCTCTATGTACCTTAACGTTCCATTGAAATCCACCAAAATAACTATGATACACACTCCACCCACGTGAGATGCTAAAAACAGTGTTTTTCTCTGATGATGAAAAAAACTTACATTTCAGGGGAAGGAAAAGACCCTGGAAAACCATTAAGCTCTCTATCTCCCCAAATTCACTATATGTGCACATATATGTGCATATATATGTGCATGTATATATTTACAAATACGCACACAAACACTTTTACAGTCTTAACCAATGGGTATATATTTACATTCTAGGTCATGGGTCTTCTCTTAAGCAGTCTTTAGGTGAAAGTTTGTATATATAATTTCAACTTGCTTAGAAAGAGTGGCAAGCATCCCCTTCCTAAATCAATAAATGCAGGGTAGTCAGAATGGGGATCTTTCAATTATTTTCTTTCACTCAGGAGTGCCTAAAATTATCACATGAAAAGGGCTTAATAAGTGTTAATTGAAAATACCTTGTCCTGGAGAAGAACATTTTCATTTGTTTTTATCTCATTTTATTTTAACTGTAAGCCCCCAAATTTAGCACATTCTCTATTTGGAGGAGGGTTATGGGTAGGTGAGAGGAAAACATCTTCAGGCAATCATATATTCATCTCCTTTTTCTCAAGAGTGCCGTAACAGAGAGGAGCGAGGCGTGCACTTCCTACCACTGTACGGGGCTCTTTTCTGATGAACGCTGTGAAGGTGCCTGGGCAGCTCCCTGGCAGAATACATCCATGACATACTTGCCCCTTCCCAAGCATTGGCTGAAGGGCAGATATGACACATGGCTTAGCACTGAGATCAGAGATGCAATGTGAAGCGTGAAGATGCATAAAAAACAGTGCAAAGAAGTTAGAATTAAATTTAGGTCTATGGAGCAGAACTCTTTACAAGTATGGAGATGACACTGTAGTTAGTGGTAACCAAAGACTCCTTATAGGCCATGCTGTGTGCTCCTCTTGGGGCATTCATACTAGATCAGGTATCTCAATATTACTATATTGCCATACAGTTTCAATCCATATCTTTCAATTTATTTTTTATAACACACCTTATCTTTCTAGATTATTAAAGCAACTGGCTTTATAGAAAATTGAGAAATACAGAATTACAAAGGAGAAAATAAAAATCACCCGAGTAATTTCAATACTTCTAATGTCTTGGTGTGTATCTTTTTGGTCTCTGTTCCATATATGTGTGCTCACACATGTGTGATATGTGTGTATTTAAGAATTCTTAAAAAACTGAGATATAATTAACATAAAACAAAATGCACATATTTAGTGTTGGGTTTGATAAATTCTAACAATTGTATTAGTCCATGTAACCATGACCTGAAAAGGATAATAAACATTTCTATTTCCTGAAAAGTTCTAAGTTCATTTCTAGTCAACTCCATATCCCATCCATACCATTATCTGATTTCTAATATCAAAGTTCAGTTTGCCTATAGTTGGATTTCATATAATTAGAATCATATAGTATGTCTTCTTTTTGTGTCTGTTTTTTTTTGCTTAACATAACTCTGAGATTCATCCATTTTATTGCATGTCAATTAGTTTGCTTTTGTTCATTTTCGTTGTTAAGTAGTATTCTATTGTAAGGATAAACTGAGATTTGTTTATCCAGTACCCGTTGGTGGACATTTGGGTCATATCCAGTTTGAACTATTATAATGTTCTTGTTTTCTTTTCTCTCTGGTAAATACCTAGGAGTGAAACTGCTACATTGTAAGGTAAGAGATTAACTTCATAAGAAATTGTTGAATCTTTTCTCAAGGTGGTTTTATCATTTTATACTCACACACCAATGTGTGAGAATTTTAGTAGTTCTGTGTTGTCACCAACATTCTCTGTTGTTAGCCGTTTTGATTACAGCCATTCTAGTGGGGGCAAAGTGATGCTGAACATCTTTTTAAGGGCTTAATGGAAGCATTCTTTTTTGAAATGTCCATGTAACTTATATACATAACTATAGCAGTTTTTAAAATCACCTACCATACTGTGAATATTTCTCCTTTTAATGATTCTTTAAAATATGCTTTTTAGATAACTGCATAACATTCCTTAAATGGATATACCATAATCTAACTAATCTTGACTAATGGACATTTAGGTTGTTTTCTTTCATTCATTCATTCATTTTTTTTTTTTTGCTATAGAATAAACTCTTCTGTGCATAAATCATTGTGTGCATTGACTATATGCATTTGTCCTTACGATAAATTCTAGGAAACAAAATTAATAATTTTCATATTATTTCATAATCATCCACTTACGTATCTGTTCCTTCAACTAGACTGAGGATTGGTAAGGATGAGGGCTTCACCTTATTCATTTTTGTACATCAAGGGCACAATAAGTCCTCAATGTTTGTTGAATAAATTTTTGAATAAACTCTTGATATATATTACTCTAATGTAGAAGTTAGAAATATAGAGCAAATAAAAAAAACATTGCATGTTACTACTATAGAGGAATGAAGTCTAATTAAGGATAATAAGTTAAAGCCATTTTAACTGTCATGTAAGTACTTACTGAATGTAAGTTACTACTAAATTAATAATTAGAGGTGAAACATCTCTCTGCATATACTATTTTTTTTTCTTATGATATATTTGAGAATGAGTATATAATAACAAACAAATATACCTGGGTGGAGGTGAAAATGTAGTCCTATGGAAAACTGAAAGGTAGCAGTACTAAGGTAAATCACAAAGTAACAGGGTCTTAAAATTCTATGACTAGTTTCATGCATACTTACCTTGCCCAGGAATAAAAGGTCTAGAAAACTGAGGTATGATGGAAAGTGGTGGTCCAGAAGGACGGACAGTTTTCAGGGTGGATAGCTGAGCTGGTGCTGGTGACTGAGCTGGTGAAGTAATGGGGCTGTTGAGTTGAGGGCTGTGCTGCAATTATAGGAAGAAAATGGGTCAGCATTTTCGTCAGGCTTTTTGCCAATTTCCTTTTGAACAAAAATTTTTATTATTTCTGATTACAAATATGTACTTGTTACACTATTACAATATACACTTGTTATTAAAAAATTAAAATAGAAATTTATAATGTCCTGCTCCCAAAATAAACACAACAGATTATTTCTATGCATATACATCTATATGTCTATGTTTTACAAAAATGGAAATAGACCATACATCCTATTTTTGAATCTTGCTTTTGTATCTTGACAATATTATAAATAATGCAAATAATTCTTCAACTTCATAACTGTTAATATTTTATTATACTAACTTTATCTCTCTCTGTATAAACTATTATTTTTTATGACCTATTAGAGTTGTTCACAATACTTCTCTATCCTTAAATATAATTAGTGTCTATTTTCTAAAAAGAAAATTTTCTTACCTACATAACTACAGCAGAATTGTCAAAATTAGGCAATTAACAATACAGTAATACTAGAGAGCTTACTCAAATTTTGCCAATTGTCCCACAGATGTATTTTACAGCAAAAAAAAAAAAGAATTTTTTTTCCCACTCCTAGTCCAAAATGCAATCTAGAATCAAGTGTTGCATTTAGTTCTCATGTCTCTTTTATCTTCTTTAATCTGGAACAGAGCTTCAGTCTTTCTTCCCTTTCATGGCTTTGACATTTTGAAGATCAGCTCCTGAAGGTCATTTTGAAGATAAGTTATTTTGTGGCATATTCCTCAATTTGGGTTTGCCTGCTTTTTTCTCATCAAAAAGTTCATGATATACATTTAGTGAGGGAATACCAGATAAATGATGTGTCCTTCTCAGTGCATCATATGAGAAGGCACATGCTGTCCATTTGTCATCACAGTATCAGTGATTTTTATTTTAACTGCTTGATTAAGGTGGTGTCTGCCAGATTTCTCCATTGTCAAGTTACTATTTTTTCCTTTTTAGTTTTAAGCGTCTCGTGGGGAGATCATATTATCTGCAAACAGAGAAAATTTTACTTCTTATCACTTTGAATGTCTTTTCTTTCTTTTTCTTGTCTAATTGCTCTGGGTAGAACTCCCAGTACAATGTTGCCTGGAGAAGGTACTTTGTACTTTGTATGATATCAATCTTTTAAAATTTATTGAGATAGTATATGACCTAACATATGGTCTATCCTAAAAAATGTTCCATGTGCCCCTGAGAAGAATATGTATGCTGCTGTTGTCTGGTAGAGTGTTCTGTATATGTTTGTTAGATCTAGTTGGTTTATTGTGTTTAAATTCTCCATTGCCTTAGTTGTGTAAGGTTGTTCTACTCATTATTGAGAGTGGGGTATTAAAGTCTCCAACTACTATTTTAGAACTATTTCTCCCTTCAATTGTGTATTTTTGCTTCATATGTTTTGATGGCCTCTTATTAGGGGTGTAAGTGTTGATAATTGTCCTATCTTGTTGCTATATTGAAAATTTACTAATATATAATGTCCTCTGTATCTTGATAACTCTTTTGATCTAAAGTCTATTTTGTCTGTTATTAGCAAAACTATCCCTGCTCTCTTTTGGCTATAATTTGCATGAAATATATCTTTTTGCATCCTTTTACTTTCAATCTATTTGGGTCTTTGGATCTACAGTGAGTCTCTTGTAGACAGCATATAGTAAGAGCATGTGTTGTCCCCACCCCTTTTGGTTTCTGGTGTCATAATATTACATTTTTATACATTGTGTGTCCCAAAACATAGACTAATAATTCTTTTAAGTGCATTAGTTTCTTAAATTATATATATAAAAAATGTGGAGTTACAAACCAAAGTTACAATAATACTACCTTTTAGATAAATGTTTTTTAAAAAGTATATTAGTCTCTTAAATCTTGTAGAAAGCAAAAAGTGGAGTTACAAATCACTGGTGTAATACCATTAGCTTTTATAATTGCTTGTGTGTTTGACTTAAATGAGTGCTTTATTTCTTCATATGGCTCTGTGTTACTGTCTTAGTATTCTTGCATTTCACTCTCCAAGACTCCTTTGAGAATTTCTTGCAGGTGAGGGCTCAGCTTTTGTTTATCTGGGAATTCTTAATTTTCCCTTCGGTTTTGAAGGACAGTTTTGTCTGGCGTAGTATCTTGGCTGACAGCCTTTTTTTCCTTTCAGCACTTTGAATATATTGGCCTGTTGACTCTGGTCTCCAAAGTTTCTGATGAGAAATCTGCTGATGATATTTTTGAAGATCCCTTGTATGTGATAAGTCATTCTTCTTTGCTATTTTAAACATTCTGTCTTTGTTTTTCAAAAGATTGATTATAATGTGTCTCAGTGTGGGTCTCACTGAGTTCACTTTAGAGTCTGTCAAGCTGCTTGACATACTTTATAGTTATGTCTTTTATTAAATTTGGGAAGTTTTCAGTTATAAGCACTTCAAATATTCTCTCTGGGACACCCACAATGTATATGCTGGTTCAACAGATGTCCCATAGGTCACTTAGGCTGTTTACTTTTCTCCATTCTTTTTTTCTGTACCTTCTTCAGCCTCTTTATTTTCTATTGTCCTATTTTTAAGTACTGATTCTTCCTTGCACCTGCTCAAATCTGCCACTGAATTCCTCTAGTGAATTTTTATCCATTTCAATGATTGTATTTTTGACTCTGGCATTATTTTTAGTTTCTTTTTTAGGTTTTCTATCTCTTTATTGGTAATTCCATTTTGTTCATACATTGTTTTCTTTCCTCATATCTTCCTTTAGTTCTTTGACCATCCTTAAGACAGCTGTTTTTAAGTCTTTGTCTAGGATACCTGACATAAGGTCTTTTTTAAAGGATAGTTTCTGTTTATTTTTTTCCTTTAAATGGGCCATAATTTTCTGTTTCTTTGTATACCTTGTGATTTCTTATTGAAAACTTGATATTTGAATCTAATAATCTGGTAACTGTGGAAATCAGATTCTCCCCTTTTCCCAAGGTTTGCTTTTCTTTTTCTTTTCTTTCCTTCCCTCCTTCTCTTCTTCCCTCCCTCCCTTCCTTCCTCATTGCTTTTGCTTACTGATTGTTGCAAGCTGTTTCTGTGCCAAGGGTCAGCCTGAGGTGTAACTCTAAGGTCTTCTCAGGGGTTCATTGAGTCTGTGCCTTTCCCTGGGCATATGCAGTCACTTTCTAATTATTCCAATATATTCAGTTGCTTTTGAAATCCTAGTCCTGAATGTCTTGCTCCCACAAGTGGTTAAAAGAGAAAAATGAAAGGAGGAAAAACAGCCTTTTAAATTCCCCAAAAGATGGAGAGGGAGAGGTTTGCAACAATGTAGGGAGGTGCAACAACAATAGCCACTGCCTCTTTGTCTACATCTCTGTGATCGGAAGCAGAAATCCAGGATCAAAACATAAATCCTCTGTGTCTGGAGGACGGGGTCTTCTATGCTCACCCTGGCTCCTGCAAGCTGTTCTAGGAACATGTACACAGCCTATCATGGGGCTAAGGGTAGGAGATGGGTCGCTGCTACTGTGCTAAGAGTTGAAATAGACTGAAATTACTGCAATTTATTGCCTAAGCTTTTCCATGGCAGTTGCAAGCCTTCGATAGATTCTAGAGGTCCAAAACTGTTATATCAAGTAGATTCTAACAGTGCAATTATTTCTAGGTAGGGAGACAGATTCTTTGTGCTCCATACTCTACCATCTTCATAGAATCCTCTCTCCTCTAGTGATGATTTTTGGCTGGCGGTGATTTTCTAATTCCATCATTCCTAGCTTTTAGTGGAGAATGATATTTAGAAACTACCAGCTGGTGGTCGATGTATTCCATTCTTCTTAGTATATAGCATTTTCCTAAATGGTATAGTAATTTATTTAATCAGCTACCTACTGCTGAAAATCAATTCCAGCTTTTCAATGTTACAACAAGGAAGAAATATCCTTGTATACATATTCTTATATACTTGCTCCACATATTTTACTGGTCCAAGTTCTAGAAGTGAATTTGTGGATAAAAGGCTATGGATCGTCTAGATTTTGAAAAATGTCACTAAACTGAACTCCAAAAAGTGTTGTATCAATTTACAGTACCACCAAGAGTGAACACGAGAGTTTGTAACTAGATATCTCTGCCAACACTACAGATTATTATTTTCCTAAATTTTCCCAATTATATAGATAAAACATAATTTTTAAATATTTTTGTTTAATGCCCATTGGCCATTTGTTGTTTGTGAGCTAGCTTTTAAGTGATATTTGACGTTTTTATTCTGCTATAATTTTGTCATATGGATTGGAAATATTTTTTATCTTTTAAAAAATATTCCAAAAACCTTCTTATGCTGTAAACTTTCAAACATATTAAAGTGTAGATAGACAAGTAAAATGAACTTCCACATAACATCATCCAATTTTGATTGTGGTTTCCTCTGCTTTCCCTCAACTAAAGCATTTATAGCAAATCTCTAATATCATAGCATTTTACTCGAAAATGTTTCTGTATATAAATATTTCTAACATAGAAAAACTATTGTCTTAAAAGTAAAACCATCATCATACTAAAAAGTTAACATATATAAATATCCTTTTTGCTCAGAAATGTCTTTTGATTGTTTAGTATCGAAGGAAGATCCATATGTTACATGTGATTATTATTGAGTCTTTTTTAATCTACAACAGACTCATCCTTCATTTCAAAATGCCACTTATCTGTTAAAGAAATGGGGTCAATTTGTCCAGTAAAATGTGGACATGGTTATCATACAAGTTTTTTTTTTTTCTTCCTGGATTTTCTGTAAATTAATAGCTAGACTTAGAAACTTGATTAGATTTGGGTTCGATATTTTGTTGACAAGTACATCATAAGATACCATGTATTTCCTTTACACCACATCAGGAAACAAATAATGTTTGGCGGACCCACACTTAGTGATGCTGCAATTGATCAGTTGCTTCAAGCATCATCTGCCTGATCCATCCAGTTTAAAGTTCCCCATAAGCCTTTTCCTAATGTTTTTGGAATGTGTTGATGATTTTTCCTTGATCCATTTTTTCAGTAGGATTCTAAGATAGTGATTTTAAATTCTACCATTGCTTTTATGTTTATTAATTGTATTTCTTCTAAAATAAAGAGTGTTCCCTCATCAACTTTCTGGTTACACTAAAATATAGTTTATGTGGAAAAAGTAGGATAACTGCGTCATTCTTTTTCTTTATTAAATTTTATTTTATTTAAAACATAATATATTTTATTTAACCCAAGATAACCAAAATATTTTTATTTCAACACACAATCAAATGAGAATTCTTAATGTTTCTTTATTAAATTTTAGATTTAACTGATCTGCTGATTCATATTCTAAAATTTTTTGAATATGCAAAAGTTTGGAAATAATATTTAAGTCCTGATATAAACTTTGAATAAAAAGAACATTCAAACTTCTTTACTAATCTGTTTGAGATTTCAAATTCAGTGTGAAGCCTATTAGGTCAATCTTCAGTGACTAAAATATTTAAAGTTTTAAAATTAAGCACCTTACCTGAACAATATTGTCTACATTGCTAAACTCCACACACTTTTGTCCTCTCTGGTGATCACAGTAATATTTGTTTTGCTTCCACTGGGGGGGTGAGTGGGCACGAGACTGTGGATTGTTTGGTACATTGAGCTGCATCATCACCATTCCTCCACCAGGTGGTGGAGGTGGAACAGCTGAAAATGAGAATTAGGATACTGCAATCAGTATATGTTACCAAATGGCTGGTATCTTTAAATACCAAAATAATAGCCATAATTTTACATTTCTGAACAAAATGTTACTATTATATATGTAAGACAGATTTAAACCCTAGTGCTTCTTGCTATAAGTGTTATGTGCCTAGAAAAGCATTAAAACTGACTCTGTAGACCTAAATATCTCACTTATCCTAAAAATTTAGGTCTATAGCTATTCAGAAAAGTCCAATTACCTACCACAGGAGCTAGTAGAGAGTAGCACAATTGAGACATGATCTATAAAAGTGCTTAATTTTTAAAATGAATTTTAAAATAGGCATTTTTTATAAATATACAAAGAAAGAAAAATTAATATTCTACAGAAATGTTGAGCTACAGTAAAGTCATCTTTTAATTTCATGCTGTGGAAATGTATGGGACATGGTAATTAACAAAGCACAATTTTAGTACCCTGAAATGTCCTATGACTCTGGGAAAATTATTTAACTTCTTTTATTGTGTTTTCTCATCTGAAAATGGAGGCTAGGAAGATGTCCTTGGCAGACTTTAAAGAACTGTGATGATCACATGTATGTAAAATCACTTTGTTAACTGTACAGTAGGGACACGCAGACTACTGTATCTGTCTTCTTATCTGTTTCTCTTGTATACCAGTACTGCAGAACTACCAGTATTAGGTGTGTATTTTGCTCGCCACTCTCCCCATTTCAGTGTAAGGTAAGGGGATTCTGTGCCCTGCCCAGGGCTATAGTTTGCACTGCAGCAACTATGGTAGTTTCCAGTTCTCTAGAAACAGAATCAGCCTGACCTGGCTAGGTAAAGCACTGTTGACTGTTTAGGAACATTTAAATTCTCCTCAGCTGCAGCAGCCCATGCAGGATGCAGCCATTATTAGTCATTTATTTGACAATCATTTACTATTTCTGTTTCTCACAGACTACATGTATCAACAAACTATTACAATAAAATATGGTGTCATGATAAAAGGATTAAGACACTATGGAAGCAGAGATAAAGCAACAAACTCTTTCAAGAACTGGGGAAGCCTTTGTAGAAAAGGTAATTTTGAGTCAAAATTTAAGGATGAGCAAGATTTTGGCAAACAGCAGATGGTGGACAGGCATTTCAGGCAGAGGAACAGGAACAAAATATCTTTGGCATAAATAAGCACAGAAACGAAGTTCTGGGTGACTTTAGCAGATTAAGTATAAATAGGTGGCTTATTTGCTAGCGAGTTTATAGAGAGTCTACATACATTTTTTCATTCAGAGGAATGACATGAAGATACTTCTGTTTCAGGACAATAATTCTTGAACTGTCTGTACATGTGTTTGTGTGTTGGGGAGGAGAAAAGTTGGGTGAAGGGGAAACATGAAATAAGCAAAAACATTTAAGAGATTACTGAAAATAAGACATGAAAAAAATTGACCAAAAGTAGCAGCAGTGGGGAAGGAGGTAGCAGATTTGAGGAAATGTTGACGGCACAAATGTGAAAGGGAACAAAGAGAGTTAATTATGACTTTGAACTTTTAGTCCCTAGATAGGTGAGTTAAGGGATGCAAGAAGAGGGAGAAATATTAAATCTAAAATGCATTTGACACATTTGGCTAGCGATGTCTAGTAGGCAGCTAGCCATATGGTCTTGTCTCAGCAGAAATAACATTTGGGAGGTGTTGGCAAAAAGCAGGCGAAGCTTAGGAGGTGGCTGGATTACCTAGGAAGAGCTTGAAGAGCAATGACATAGAACGTAGGAAAGGATCCCAGAGAACATCAGTATTTGTAAGGCAAGGAAGGAAGAAGAGCCTGAGGAGGAGAAACAGGACAGCAGTGTTGTGGTGCAGCAGCAGAAAAGGAAGAAGTGGACTGGCTGAACCTGTTAACTTTGATTTTCCTAATACCCTAAATATCCTGGGGATATCTCAGCACCACAACAAGTTAAAAATCGTTTTCTAGAAATGGCTACAGAACTTAGTTATTTCTCAAGGGGACAAACCATTACTTTTTTTGTTCAAGTATATATTCATACCTGCACACTGGTGGCTATGAAGCTGCTGAGAACTGCATGGTGAAGTAGTTCGAGGAAACTGTACTTGTTCTGATCCTGGATGTTGCAAGTAACCTACTGATGAGCTATGGGGGGAAAAAAATCAAACACACACAAAAACACAGCACAATGAGATGGAGATGACTGTAAAAATACTTTGAACAAACAGTCCTGCAAAGTTATTTTAATGAAGTTATTTTTCAAACTGATTAGCAGTAAAAGTCAAATGTAACTCTCTTCTCTGTGAGTGGCAAATAATTACCTTTTAGATAAAAATCACTATGTTTATGGAAATAATACCAATTTTTTAAAATAAAGAAAAAACTAAATCCATTGATCTTACTCTTTTCCAACTTATTCTAAATGTGCTTTTGTATTACTCAAATAATTATTTAAAAAAGAAAAATAATTCACAAATTTTACAAAATAAAAAGGTAATTTATTTGGATTTCACAAAGTTATATTTTAGAAAAGAGAATCTGCAGTTTGACGAGACTCAAAAAAAATATTGCTTAAAAAATGTACTATCCGAGAATAAAGGAAAATAGAACATGATTTTGACATATTCTAACATAAATATCGACAAAAATTAAAAAAGGCTGTTAGTGTAAAACCATTAAGTCACTGAGACTCTAATATACAATTCGTCATAATATGTCTTTAAAGTTTTATCTTTTTAGCAAATTCTTTCAGGAAAATAGTTTCAAATCAGAGCACAATACTATTAATTCTTTCTGGGAATTCTCAAGTAATCAGAAATCTTATTTTATATATAAAACCCTATTAGTTACCAGTCTTTTTTTCATCATTTAAATAAACTTTCTTTACATAGTATTAATTCTTAAGCTAGCTTTAGCAACTTTTTACACTCATGTCTCATATAACTGCACTAAAAATATTACGTTAGATCCAACTACTGAATTATAGAGACTATAGGAAGACATGTTAAACACCACCATGATGATACAATTAGGAAGTCCAGACTATGGGACACTCTATAAGACAAATGTGTAAAAACATAAGCAATATTTGTGGGGTAGCTGGAAATAAATATACCAACTGATTATCTGACATAATTAAGAAATTAACTGTTATATTTTTTAAGGTGTAAAATATAATTATGTAGGTTTTTAAAACACCTTTTAGGTATACCTAAACTGAAATACAGATGAATGAAATTATATGATATCTGAATTTCAAAATAATTCAGGAGAAGGATGAAATAGAAGTTTAGATGCAAGAGATTAGTCAGTTAATAACTGTAGAAGCTAAGTGATGGCTATATAAAGATTCAGCACTTTTGTTTACATTTATTTAAAAATGTCCACGATAAAAAATTTTAAAATGATTCTCTAATTCAGGGTGCGAATTCTTCAATTAATAAGAATTTAATAGAGTTTTATTGATTTTTAGTGGCACTAACTCAGCGTGGTTCAATAAAATAGAAAAAAGAAAGAAATGTAAAGGGAAGATTTCATAAAAAGTGGTTTTGGACCACATGATAAAAATATAAAAATAGTAATTTCTGAAATTGATGTTAACTATGATCAGAATGCATTTATATGAGTATTAGCTACCTGTGGAATAAAGCTTAAGACATGGTCTGTAAATGTGCCATTACTTGGGAGAATATATAAAGTTTCACCATAAGGTTAAGGGATTTTTAGGTTCTGTTCTAACTGGGATAAAATGACCCTAGACTACGAAGTGCCCCTCACCCTGATCTTGTTTACTAAGCACATTCTAATGACTTACTCAAGTTCTGAGGCACAAGGGTGACAGGAAGCCACTCTGAATAGGAACAAGAATATTCAGGTCACCAAAATGAGTGATATATCCCATACCACTGAACTATAAATTGTTATTCCAGTTTACCACTACAGTGGATTTTAGTTTTATAATTAACATAAGTTGGTTTTCTAGCACTAGATCATCCCTTAGGTAAATGAATTACAAAACTGAGTTCCAAGACTCTACTAACCTCCCCCAACAGACAAAAAGACACGTCAAGGGACACAGAGTGGGCAATAAATCTCTTAAATGCTCTATTTTCTATTATCATCTAATTTGCCTTCTATAAAGACAGAACTATAATGCATTAGAAAGAAGAAAAGCATAAGAGTAAGCTTTTAAATATCACTTTCACTTTAAAGCATAAATACTTATAATACCAAAAAGATAGTAAATTCAAAAATTTCTCCTTTGGAAGACAGGACAGTAATAGAAAAAAGGGGACATAGTAAAGTAAAACACCAGGCCTAACCTTTGAAAAAGTTCATATTCTACCCTTGAACAAGAAAAAAAAAAATGCCAATCTCATGAACCTATTTGATCCCAAACTTCCTGAAAAGTCCTGGCTTAAAACTATGAATGTGTAAATTAAAACTAATTAATGATATAAACATCAAGACATTATGAAACGTAACTGCAACAAAAATTAGTCTTGCCACTTTACCAATTGTTTTGCCATACTTTTAGGAGCTACAGCTTCTCAGTGCATAGAACAGCCAATCAAACTGCTGCAAAATGCCTCCACAGGATCAATTAATAAGAATTGAGAAAAAACTCGTTTCTTCTTCTGAGTTTTTTATAATGTTCGCCTTAATCCTATAATGTTCTATGATAATTCACAGGCAGAAATTCCCTTTTCCTCCCGTCACTTATTTCCTCATTTTTACTGTACTGTGGAATCAAAGCTATGATGAAAAAAATGATAAATGCATTACATATTTTTAAAATCAGAAATCTACTGTAGTCTAGCAAAGTATGAAAAATTTAAAAAAAAGTCATGACCCTTTATGAATGCTTAAAATTGGCCTTTTAAGGGGTAGTATTGATCCATTTTGATTAGATTATGGTAATCTACCTGATATACCACAGTATGAGTGAAAATTAATGCTTGGTAGTAAGATATATTCACTACACATTCTTGCAAATTCAAGTGATGTTAAACTGCTACTTTAATAGCTTTTGACATTTAATATCTAGTGAAAAGCACCAAGAATTTGGGTGTCAGATGGCAGCACAAGTTTGAGTTCCAACTCCACTTATTTGGCATGAGTCTGAATACACTATTTGAATGTCAGCTCTCTCATCAATAAACAAGTGATTAACACCTGTCTTACCACATTATGATAAAAGACTTGGACAAATAATTCAAAATACAAATAATCCAACAAAAAATATAAAAATTCATTAATAATCAGAGAGTCAAATTAAAATGAGGTATGTCACTATTTATGAAACATGAAAACAATGAAAATGAGTCAGTATCCACTTGGTCAAAATGTACCAAGGACCTTAAAAAATCGTATCTTTTGACCTATTAGTTCCCCTCTAAGGACTCTATGCTAAAGAAGAAATTCAACTTGCCCACAAAATGGTTCAATAAAATGGAAAAAATGGATAAGACCTACATGTTTTGCAATAGGCTAAATATTTTATTGCATTGTCATAAAACTGAAGTGTGATCATTAAAAATTATATTTACAAAGAAAAATTTAATGACATGAAAAAAACACTACACCTAATGAACAAAATATATCCAGTAGGATCTCAACTATGTTAAAACTATATAAGAAAAAAAAAAAAAAAAAAAAAAAAAAAAAAAAAAAAAAAAAAAAAAAAAAAAAAAAAAAAAAATGTGAGCAAGACAACAGCAGTCAACTTAGGGTCGTGAAATATGGCTGATTCTTGATAATTTATACTTTTTTGTATTTTCCAAAAAGGCATACATGCATTTGGCAATAATAAAAAATAAAAATTGCCTGAAAAGTTCTACTTTTAAATGTCATATCAGGGATTTAATTTCAACTAATAATCTGAATCTCCTTCAGAAATCTTTAGCAGATGTCAGAGTGTGGCTAGGAGACAGTTCTACTGATTTCCTGCAATTAATTTAATCCTTCAATTAATTTAAGGATCAGATGCTCAGACAGGCTTGCTCCTCTGGAAGAAAATATTAGCTTTCTGCTTTACAAACTTTTTGCAAGTCAAGGTGATTTCTGCCTTATGTATTTCTGTAATGAGGGTATCTATTTAGGGCAATGACATGAAAAATATACACTCTTTTAACTAATTAGAATTTGACCAAACTGCATGCTCAATTAATGGTATTAAATGTCGAATAAAACTTTCATTGCACAATATTTTGGGTTTTTCCTGAAATATAAATGGACTTTTCTTCTTGGGCTTTCCTGTTAAATGCTCATTATTTATAGAAATATTCATTTACAGTTCATCTGGTCCCAAATGTAAAATATTTTAAAAAATCAAATAGATTAAAAAACAGTAAATATATAAAAGACAAAAATAAAAAAGAAGTAGGGACATTTGAGATAAGATTGTTGCTTTCACTGAGCACTGAATCTAGCTTTGTGTTTCTTGGCAGCTAAGATAAAATGGTGAACCCAGAGGATTATACAACTCTGCCAGGATGATTAAGAAGCAAGCATTTAAGCTTCTGGCAGGTGGTGGATTACAGACATTTCCTAATTGTAGTCTATGATGAATTTAAATCATGTAGTTAATTATAGTCTTTTGATATGAGATATAAACACAGTTCATATTTTACTAGGAAACTTAGGAGCTGGGATGGAAATCCTGCCTGAAGAGAGGATTATTTCCTACTAGATAAACGCAGAAGTGCCTGCAGTAAGTGCTAATGTTTTCCTTAAAAATGAACTTTGTATTTTTCAAATACTTATATGAGTCTCTAGGGTCTATATAACACATTTCACATAAAAGATTATAACTTCATTAGCTCACTGAAGTGCTGGAAAACATCTGCCAAACAATATTTTTATTTTAGTTTTAGTCCCAACCTGCTCTTTTTGGCAATAATCTAGCTACTTATTAAGTCTGCTCCTTGAGTGACACCATAAAATTGCCACTGGCAGCGAGGGCAGTACTTACATACCTGTATGATAAAGGCAAAGAACACGCATCTAATCCCCCAAACTGCTTTACCAAATCTTTTAAATATAATTTCAAAAGACAGGATGCCAGAATACCATAATTTCATATTTTTAAAATCAAAATTTTACCTATTCAATATTAACTTCTGGCATGACACAGCATGAGTTTT